TATATATATATATATATATATATATATATATATATATATATATATATATATATATATATATATATATATATATATATATATATGCGATGCCCCTCAAACCAGCCGCTATTTTTACGCGGTGCATTTGTCGTGAAACTAGTTTTGAGCCCTCGTACTGTCGAAAAGGTGAAATTCACAGTGTGCATTTGTACAGAGGCACGCTATATTAAGTTTCGCCAACTGTAAACGTACGGCGCAGGGCTACCCAGGATGTTTTTTCAGGGGTGTGAATGCAGCAGAATGACTAAATTTGGCAAGTGGTGGTCGCTGTGAATACTTGTAAGTATTTTAGTATACCCTGAAAAATCAAATTTCGAAAAAAATCGTTTTTCAGGTGGTTCAGATTCCCTTCCTCTCCCCTCTTTATTTACGGCCTCCTGGTTCTTCGTGCGTTTGACATGGTATATCGTTTTTTTTTTCATCTCACAGCTTTCTGAGTACACCTAACTTCCAATTAATCGGCTCAGTTATTCCTAATATATTAGACGCCTGTCCAACGAAGAAATAATTAAGATAGAAGAAATCATAAGACACGCCCTTTCTAAATGATTTTCGATCTCTCGCAAGGACTCTTATGGAGCTCAAATTCAGTAGATTGGCGTGTAATACTTCACGAGTTATGACATCATGTGCTAGACATGAATGATGGGCAGGTTCAAAGAAATCTGCATCAAAAAGCACAATGGAGAAGCCGAAGCCTATAGCAGTTCCTACGCGCGGCGCGCCGCTCTTTCAGTACTATTCGACTGCAGCGCCGCCGCTACTGGCAACTCAGAAGGTATCAGGCGGCGAGGCGTGGTCACGCCACTCAACACTTCTAGTACACTCTACCTACGCCGCGTCAGCATGTACTGGAAATTCATTCTAATACACTCTAGCAACGCCTCCTAGATTTCCCGTGCCTGCCGAATGAGCGCGAAACGCCGGTCATCTATGTCGGCGCTGCCTAAGTGGAGGTAAGGATCTTTGTACTCAGCCTTTGAGATTGGCACTTTTGACGTTTGTTACGAATTTCAGAGGATGCCTTGTATTTAAAGAGTTGCTTGTTGAATGACGGCGTCACTTATGTAGGGTTAATTGTAAGTACGTTTACACCTTTTTAAAACTTTTTATGCTGTTTTTGTTGCATATAAACTCTAAAAACGTAAAAACCTATTTGAAGACACCCTACTTGAGTGGCGCCACCACCGTAGTTCCGACGACCACCGCTTCCCGAGTGACCGCCGATAATCCGGCAGGCACGGGAAATCTAGGAGGCATTGACTCTAGCCACACCTTTCCTTCATCTGTGACCACCACCAAGGAAGGACCTTTTTGCTTCCTCCGTGGTGACCACCGTGTCCATGACTCTAGCCATGTTGAGCCGACGACCGCAGCGCTACCAGATGTCTTTCGTTGGTACTGCGGGGGGCGATAGTTGTAGCCTGAGAACAGAATCACGACAAAGGAACCGCCACACTTCTAACGGGTTTTGTAGAGTCTGTTTTCTCTGTACGTACGTCACTGCTGTTGCGCCTTCGCAGCTCAACAGAAATCTGGTAGAGATAACTTCGCGACTAAAGTAGGCGATAACAAGGAGGCTTCTCGAGTAGCAGCCAGCTAGCTAGCTCACAAAAATCAGACGTGACCGAAAGATGAAAATGCGTGCCCGTGCATAACTGAATAATCACCTGACTATTGTATATCACAATAGCGTAACGAAGAGCGAGTATCAAATCGAATACAGTTATATATTTGATTCGTTGGTTCAAAATCTTCGAATACTTGCACACCGCTACATAAGACGGCGGCACCTTTATTTTTTTCTCTCGGATGCATGGATAGTCGGGTAGGGTTCACCAAGGCGTGGAATCTCCTCAGGTTCCTGCTGGATCCAGAGGAGACTAAAACAGCATATAGGCAAAATGTCAACAAGATAATCAACGTCTACAAAGGCACCCACGCAGAACTCTTGCATGAACTCAGGATGAGATACACTAATCCGACTAGACCCGTGCTCCACTCTGAATACAAAGGCACTGCGAACGAGTGCTTGGACAGACCTTTCAGCATTGCTGAAGTACGCGCGGTGCTGCACAGGCTCAACACGAAATCATCGCCCGGACCAGACGGGGTTACGAACAAAACGCTTCGGAATCTAGATGACACATCGATAGAGCACCTCACGGTTTTCCTTAACGAATGCTGGGAAAAGGGACGTATTCCCCGACAGTGGAAAACCGCCCGCATCGTTATGATACCCAAACCAGGAAAGCGCATACAGCTGGAAAATCTAAGGCCGATATCGCTGACGTCCTGCGTTGGTAAGGTCATGGAGCACGTGGTCCTCGCGAGACTAACAAACTTTCTCGAGGACCACGATCTGATTCCTCACACCATGCTGGGCTTCAGGAAGAGCCTCTCCACGCAGGACGCCATGCTACAACTCAAGCACCAGGTAATAGACAGCATGACCACTTCTACCAAAGCAATCTTAGGCCTAGATTTAAAGAAGGCGTTTGATAATGTCAAGCACTCGACTATACTTACCCGAATAATAGAACTAGGACTCGGTAAAAGGACGTACGACTACGTCCGTGATTTTCTAACGGACAGGACAGCGAGGATCACATTGGGAGAATTAGAGTCAGGAGAGATAGAGATGGGCAGCGCCGGCACTCCTCAGGGTTCGGTGATTTCGCCCTTGCTCTTTAACCTCGCACTCATAGGGTTACCAATCCGACTTCTAAAACGAATTACGAACCGACATAGTGGTATGAAAGAAGGGAACACTATTAGACTTGTGCAAGCCTTTGTCCTCAGTAGAATCACGTACGTTGCCTCTTACTTGAATTGGCACGTCGCCGAGAAGATAAAATTAGATTGCTTAATCAGGAAAGTGTATAAGCAAGCTTTATGCTTACCCATGAACACAAGCACAGTGAAATTATTAGAACTAGGCTTGCACAACACGCTTGACGAATTAATAGAAGCGCACAACGTAGCACAGTATGAACGACTTTCTAAGACTAAAACGGGCAGGTACATCCTCGAAAAACTGGGAATCCACTATCACACGCAGCAAGGCGAAAAAGCCGACATAACCGTGATGGTGAGGGAAAAGATAGTGATTCCGCCGTTGCCCAAAAATATGCACCCGGAACATCACACCGGCCGAAGAAACCAGAGAGCGCAGGACTTGCAGAGAAAATTCGGAAATTGCAAGGAAGCGGTATTCGTGGACGCGGCCAGATACGCGCGAAGGTGTGGTTACGTGGCCGCGGTGGTCGACGGTAAAGGGACATGCATGACGAGCGTTACGGTGCAAACGCCACTGACCGAGACGGCCGAGGAGGTGGCCATAGCACTCGCGGTGGCGACCACTGAGGCCGAAGTAGTAATTAGTGACTCGCAAGCAGCGATACGCAACTATGCGAACGGTCGTGTCTCCCGAGAGGCGCTGCGAATCCTAATGACTAACGAAGACAAAATTCGGGAAAAAAATGACACTTTCGTCATATGGACCCCCGCACACACACAAACCCCGCTGGCCGGCAACGAGGCGGCGCACGCGGCGGCTCGAGCACTCACGAACCGAGCCGTTGCGAACGCCGACGCCGCCTCGGGCGAAGTTCCACGCGGGGGGGAGTGGGAGTGGGGGGACCGCATGACTAGTTACCACGAAATAACGCAGCACTATAAGCTAGAAAGGCGAAAGTACCCTCCGCCACACAACAGGTTAAATAAAAAACAGGCAGTTGCGTGGCGACAACTGCAAACATATACTTATCCGAATCCAGTTCTCTTTAGTCTCTGTTACCCTGATCTGTATTTAACAGAAAAATGCAAGGTTTGCGATGAAAGGGCGACACTTTCACATATACTATGGGAATGCTCGAGTTTAGATGAAAGCAACGATGAAAACCACGAAGAGGCAGTTTCGGACCGCAGGACACGCTGGGAGGGGGCTCTGCTCAGCTCCTCATTCGAACAACAACTGTGGGCCGTCCAGCGAGCCGAGGAAGCCGCCCGAGCCCAAGGGCTCGTGGCCGACGCCTAGGCCCGCCCCAAATCAACTTCGCTGGACTTCATAAATAAAGTTATTCTTCTTCTTCTTCGGATGCCACCGCAAGCACCCGAAATAAAAAAGCGCATGGTGCCATATGGATTTATTTGCCTAAGACGGCGAAATGTATCAACTTCAAAATAAGCTTTCACGAGGAGTATTTATTTCGTCCTGACTGCAGCGCGTGTTAAAACCTGGCAAAGCAAGAAAATTCACTCATGTGTTTCGAATCAGGCCCAATGGACCCAGCTGGAACCATTATAAAGCCATTCTGAGAGCAGAATGGCGACAAAGGGACAATAATTTGTCGTCGTTCTGCTCTCGCGTTATAACTATCGTCATGTCATACGAACTAGCCCAAAGTACCACACGTCCAAATTTCAAAACCATTGGCTGTAGCACGCTTCAGACTTTGTTTTTCTTGAACTAGTAGGAAGTGTAGCACCGTAATGTAAAAAAGCTTTGTTAAACAAACCCTAGAACAAGAACATTAAAGAAATAAAAAAGTTTACTCGCCGCCCCCGGGAGGGCTCGAACCTCCAACCTTTCGGTTAACAGCCGAACGCGCTAGCCGATTGCGCCACGGAGGCGAGATGGAGGCTTGTTGCTAAAGAGTTTACTAAAACATGTTTGCCACTTAAAAGTTTGACGATGCGTGTGGTGTCGTGTGCGAGCGCATGAATCTTGCAAGGTTCTTATGCGTCAACCACATTGTAAATTCAAGCCACAGTTTATTAAGCAAGACAACTTTTACTATAAAGAATTCGTTTGGTTTTACATTTCAGCTAGAACATTATTCCCAAAGTGAAAATTTCTTCTTATATTACGCCACAAAATTGCGTTGATTTACTAGAGCACCTTGTACCTGCAATGGGGCCTCAATAGATGGAGTGGGATAGTCGCATGAATGCCAGCTAAGATCGTGCTTCATAGGATCATTTCTATAGTACGATTGTCGAGACGCATCCGCGATCTCGGAACACACTCGACCACGATGAGGAGTCGAGGGTCTCCGCTTGAGCGCGAAGCCGGCTCGGAGCTTCGGGTTTCGACCCTGGTTCCGGCCATTGATGACCGTTCCGCCGGCCTTAAATGGCCGGTGGGAGGGCGGAGATCCAGTCTGAGTGGCCGGGTGTGTACATTTTTAATGCAATGAAAAATCAGATGGAGGAATCATTGGTACTGGTCCGCATGAATGCGTTGGTAACGAAGTAGTCGAAGAATTAATTAAGATTGGCAATGCCGCGCAAGCCTGGACGTGTGACGGTTGTAACGACCAGAGATGGTAATTTCAAACACCAGTCTCTGCTGCAGCTCTAGAATCAGAACTGCGTTTCCGTCTGGAACATACTCATCTAGAAGTTGTTGGGCAAACGGACGGGCACATTCTAACAAGAAATCCGATCCGGATTAGGCTCTACGGGCGGTCATAAGCGATCGTGTGACACCAATCAGCGACTGCGAGAACAACTCTGCCACAGTTGTGGTTTGACCGCCTGATCGGTGGTCACAACCGATCCTGTAACACTCCCCTATGCGGTGGTCACACACGAGCTCGAATTATCGTGGTGTGACAGAAATGTGTCGTTCGTTAGTAGCGTTGCGTCGATTGCGATGCACTTCATTGCAGATACCTGAACAGAGCTCGAAACTACAGCATTTTGCGAGTCTGTTTGGGTAATGGGTGCAATGATCTTCCGCACAACTCGAGCAATACAAAAATCGCCTTTGATTTCTGCTCGCGAGTGCGAACTGTAGTAAATCACGGCCGGAGTCGATGAGGGGTGAACCACACTGTTATGCGCCGCAAGTCCAGCCTATCTCGAAATAACAGGGCTATTTTCAACGGCGGGATTGATTATTCACTGCGACGAGACTGCATCCATCCTCGAGCGACGTTCCCTTACGCCTAATTCTCAAAGTTTAACGCGGAAACACGCGTACGGTAGGCCCACTGGGCTGTGCGATGCAAGGCGCACCTTGTACGGTTGTACACATGTACTTGAAAAATCCACGGTGTCTGTCCCATGACCGATAAAATTATGCACTATGTCACACTGCTCTCCCAGTAGAATGCAATTTATTCGATATCGCCATTCATGTTCTTCATTCAGGCGTTGCTGCTCAGACAGTGCAACATTCCTCTCTTGACACCGTGTTAACATGCACGTCCGCAGGGAAGGGGCGGGCAGCCACTCACTTCGTTATTATATATATTTTTCTGCGCAGTAGCAATCCGCTAACAATTAGCCCTGTCAGATCTCGCATATCCGGGTGAAATGACCGAGTATTGGCACACAATTTTGCATGTTACGTTTGTCACATGACATGCGTACTGCCCGGTCATGACACTGCAGTGAAATAAAAGCTGTTTGTGCCTGACGCCATTCTGCGGATTCACCCCCTGCAGAAAGTTGTGTAGATGTTGTTACCTGTAAAGAGTATTATTTCTTAAGCACAGCCATTCCTCATGCATTCAACAGTTAGAACAAGGAAAACGCAGGCAACGTCAGTCACTGTCATTAACAGCCGTGTAGCAATGATGTCAGACTTTGAAGTTAAGGTGGTCAAATGCACCATATGTGTCAGCGGGATCCAAGCCCACAACTTTAGAATCACCCTGGTTGTGTTGTACAAAGGAATGATAACATCTGGGGTTTTACGTGCCAAAATCACTATGATTATGAGGGACGCTATATTTAAGGGCTCCAGAAATATTGACCACGTGGTCGGAATTTCCACTAGTGTACTGTCACATTACACAGTAGACTGGCCTCCACCATTTCGCTTCCATCGAAATGGGACCACTGTGGTGAGGATCGAACCCGCGACATTTGAGTCGGCAGCCGAGCATCGTAGCTGCTGTCCCACAGAGGCCGCCTACAAGGCAATGAGCTCCTTGAAAAAATTCCCAGTCTTTCGTTCATTACCTTGCATTTTTGAACATGCTCCTGTTTACCTCCAAAGCCAGTCAACACAAAATAAGGTGTTTCACTGTACTGTGCTCAGGCATACTGCTCAACCTTGTTGAAAAGCATTCTTACTTGGGCTGTGTTCTTGCACTGATATCGGCACATTCATTCATAAAAAATTAACAAGTGCGATAACACTCATAAGTGTGCAATGGTTCACCGGTAATTATTCAGTTGAAGAGGAGTGTTCGGACGCACAGTTTGTGTGAAAGGTAAAATTGTGTTGGCATTGTGTGTGCTTGTGCACGCAAACCAACATGTTGTGTATTGGCTAGCTACAACTTCTTTGTACTTTCAGAACAGTACTATTTTCATGATTGTAGTGATGTTTAAGTGCTCTGCCTCAAGTAACGCTGCATACAAGTACTACATTGCAAACATTGGAACTTCAACATGAAACTAATGCACGAGGAACTTGTACGCCAAGCCTGAAGGTTTGAAAGAATGCCATAAATTAAAAGAAAAATGTATGCACAAAGTTTGGCATGGCTGTGTCCTAAATTGTGTATGTTGTTAACTTGATGCTCGAAATAAATTGCTTATAAACACTACTTGATAGGTATGTAGGGTTTAACGCCCCAACACTACCATATGATTACCAGACACACCATAGTACAGGGCTCGGGAAATTTTTACCACCTGGGGTTCTTTAACGTGCACCCAAATCTGAGCACGCGGGCCAACAGCGACATCGAAAAAGCAGCTGCCGCAGCTAGGATTCGACCCCGTGACTTGCAGGTCAGTAGCAGAGTACACTAGAGCTTAGCCACTAAACCCCTGGGCGAGGCAAGTCACAAATATTTGGACGCGACTGCTGCGCTGCACTTTTTCTTAGACACTACTATGTCTGTCCAAAATGGTGTAACGTTTTCATGCGCTGCAGAGTGTATGTGATGAGGCCACATACACATTGACAAAAGGATGTATCACACGGTATCGCTACTGGCGGAATTGTATGTGCCACCAAGGAAAAGACGACAAAGACTAGCACACTACTTAACCAGTAGGACCAATGCACAAATCGCCACACAGAGAACGCAAAATTTTAGATGAACATATTAACTTCAGTGAAAATGTTGCAAGATAATACATTGCATTTGGAATAAATGCACCACTCCTCACAACTTGCATATGGAGAAATTATCAAAAGACATTTCAAAAAGTGTCACTCAAGGGTGCAGCAAAGGCGAGTTGCCAAGGGTGCCAAGCAGCTTAATAGCAATAGAAACTTCTACAGCTCAACAAAACATGAAAGCTGTTTGGTAAGAATGTTTCTCTTTCCGTTACCAAAACATCATACATTTGATGTTTAGGTAACGCCGAAACACCAAAAGTCATGGGGCAACAAACTGAGTACAACTGCAGAGCTTGTTTGCACTGCTGATCTATACACATACTAGAGGAACGAGGATATAGCCAGATTTTTTATTTTTTTTAGTGAAGTTTTTATCACATCACAATGGCAGTGACAGTGGGGTAGTTGTCCGCCACCTCTACCACATGAAATACAAAATGAAACTGGAAAACTATTGCTAGGAACGTCAGCCTGCTTCTGGCTATCAACACCCATACAGCATGATCACCACTAGCAGCAGGCAAGGTTCCATGCCCTTAACTTTGCCTCTTAGGATCAAGCAAGGGCGTCAACCTGCATTGATACCAATGGCTAGGTCTCGGCCATGGCTCCGATGAAGTGATGGTGTTACGTCCCTTAAATATATAATAGCGAAACAAGATCGCAGCAAGAGCCATTTTGATGCCGTAGTTACTGTCAGTGTCTGTAACTGCACCCGCGCGAAGAAAAAAAATCAAGAGGGGAGGGTACCCCGAAAACCGAAAGTTTTTTAATTTTTAAGATATCTTGGTGAAACTTGCAGGGTATGTTCACTACAATAAAACTAGATAAAATGCAAAGTTTCCTAAATTTGTGTTAAGTGGTTCTAGAGTTCCTGAGGTCTAACTGGGTTGTTCACTTGTGCGCCCGAGGAAGAGCCGGAAGAAATTTCACGACATACGAGAAGGCTGTATTCGTGGCCATCCCTGGATAGATACCTTGGCGCTAAAAAGCCGTGTTTTTTTCAATTTATCCTCCAAAAGATTTTTAAGCAACTTTGAATGATGGAGCCAGTAGGTATGACATAAAAAATTGTTGATTATAAATATTGGCACAAATTTTCAAAACAGAACCTTTTTACATCCTGGCAAAATCATCCAGGAGCAGAATAAAAGAAACCCCACACAAATCCGATAAGCAGTTCTTGAGAAACCGCTTTCCTCAGCACCACAACTAGCTAAGCAATCCATTTTGAGAAAACTGCCTTTGAAAGTTCAGCACATGTTTTTCCCTCAAAAAGTTCCAGCAGAGTAGCTTGAAGTGTACCTGTGCACACTTTTTTCTTTTCTCTTCCCTTCACCTTCTCCGAGTGCCGTTTGGATTTTTTTTTTCAGACGTAGGGCATCATCTTTTTCAAGAGATCACTGGATTGCTAGGTGCCCCTGTCGAAGTCAACAGCGTTTGATATTACTTCCCTTGCTTTGCCAGCACTGTAGCGCAGCACTGCTTTATGCAGTGGTTTCTACAGCAATCAGGGACGAGTGCTGCTCTTTTGGCATTGGCAACCAGAGAACAGAGTAGAATGGCTGTTGACGCAATTTGAGTCTTTGCTCCCAAGCAGTGCCGAAGGAGACTTTTGCGAAAGTCGCTGGTAGATGGGCAACATAGCCTCAGCAACATAGTCTGGTAGGTTGTGCTTGTGCCTTGGTTGTGGCTCACCATTTGCCTCTGCAGCTCTATGGCGGCACTACGACTCGGCTCTCCCTGGGCAAGGGCATTGGCGAGTCTGTCAGTCGATGTGACGTGCCAAAATATGTAGCGATCACTGCACGCTGCATTGCTGTCATGTCACTGGAGTTGTTTCTCAGCACCCAACCGTAATAGCCTGTGAGCTTCTCAATGAGAGCTTTAGTGAGCTTTTCCTTCCCACTCAGTGGCTTGTCACTCTTCTGCACATTGCTTGGAAGTGCACTTTCCATCCTTTCCTGAACATAGTTCCGACACTCTTCTTTCACTATGGGCACTAACTCGTAAACGTTCTCTTTAGCGAGGGCAGAGAAGGTATGGCTGTCCCGGTCGGACACGAGGGTGGTGTACCACAGGCCATGCTTGTCAATGGACCTCTTGAATAGAGTGAGGGCTGCTTCCAACTCCATGCTTCGAAATTTTGCATCAGTGTTTTCCTGGCAGGTGCTCATGCCAGCTTTCATAGGCTGCATCTGCAGGTCGGGGCCGTTTGACAACCAAGGCAGTGGTTTGACAGAACCACAGCATCTAATATGAGGCCCGTGTAGAAGTCAATCACAGCTCAGACTCCAATGTGTGCCCACGCTTGAGCTAAGTACCGTCATGCACCACGGTGATGTCCATCTTTTTGTACGTAGCAATCACTGCTGTGGCAGATTCAGCACAAAACTTGTCCAGAGCGGCGGCTTCTCCATTCCTGTACGTCTCTTTCAGGTGTTTCTGATAAGTCTTATGGTGGAAACCTCTATAAGAGATGTTCATGGCTTCCCAAAAATCATTCAGAGCTGCTTGCCGCTTACCTATTTGCTTCATAGCCACTATGACGCGGACATTCACGTCAAAGGCCTGCGAGTTCTGTTTGCGGGGCGATGTCCACACTATACCGATGGTGCCACAAGAGGAGCACACGACTTCCAGCTTTGTTGCCAGTCCATACTTAGTGCTCTCTCTGACAGTCATGCCACCTTTCAAGCACTGCTTGCACACTGTGAATATGAGCACCACGTTAAGACGTTCATTTGGACGAGCGAAAAATGTTTACCATCACTTGTCACTGCAGGCTCAAGAGCCGGCTGCATGAGTTCAAATTTGTTCACCGTCACTGGCGTAGATTCGAGCTCAGCGCGAACGGCGTCTTGATTTCTCGCATTCGCATTGATTTATTCCTTAGTTAGGAAATGCATCCGCAGGTGAAGGGTCGACGGCCTACCCATGCTCGATGGCCCCGATGCAGGCGAAGTGCTAGGTCTGGCGATCTCGGCAACACTCAGCGTCACGCTCGACGGCACCGATTCAGAGCACGTGCTGGACCCGGCGATCTCGGACACGCACGATGCATTCGCGCCTCCTTGTACACAGAGTGTGTCAGATTCTGGACTGGTGGCAGTTGATAGCACAGTTCCGCCGCTGCAAGCGTCTACGCATTGCGCACTTGCAGCAGAAAAGCGGAATTTATATTCACGAACATGCCGCATAACGCGCTTCTGCGCTCCGAACTTCCGCACAGTCTCCAGCTTCGTTGCCGGCACCCTGCACAGCAACAAAGATAAAGAGCGCAGAACTTGTGCGAAAAGAAAAAAAAAAAGATGATAAACTGATCGAAAATACAGCGCAAGGCAAAAAAGCGGCCCTTAAACAGACGTCTGTCGAGGCGGACCGAGCAGAGAGCAACAGGGAGACGAGCGCGCTGGCCGCGCTATTGCCAGGAGAGACCGCCCTCAGCACTTCGCATCGCATCTCGGAGAAACGCCAATAGCATCTCAACCACGCTGTTGATGCCATTTTGAAAGGCGGCAAACGAGAGAGAAAGAATTCACCGTCAAAACAAGACCAAGATGGCGCAGAACAGCCGCATGGTCTCGGAATGGCGTGCACACGAATTTTGGTTTGATATTTTGGCTTTTGCGCATGTTTTGGGTGCTGTGGCGGCCTCCAAAATAGCATATTTTTTGCACTTTGGGGTTGAATTAGGTGGTGATATTTACAGAATAGGCAATTTATGTGACATACAACCTAACAATATGGTTTTTCTAAAGAAAACTTTTTCGCAACTTTTCGGTTTTCAAAGGCGGCGTCCCCCCTTAAGCGAGAAAAAATTTTGGAAACGAAGGGAACTTGAACCTGCCTCTTTTACATAGCATTAGATTATTCTACCACACAGCCACGCCGGAGCTAAAATATCCTTAGAAAAATGCCCTCCACAAGGGTCCTGTTGGGCAAGCAATCATGTTATCATATATGTCACATTGGGTCGTAGTAGGTTAAAATATCGTAACTGGGTCATTGCTTCCAACACATTAAAAATGGCTCAGCGATAATTCTTCATAGCACAAACAAAACGCACAATTCCTTACAAATGTGTAGCAGGTACCACACTACTCCACAGAATGATGAATAATGGCATGCCAGATGCTTCCTTACTTCGTGAAAGTTACAATGATCTATGACATAGTCACAGTGAGTACCTTGCCAGTGTATTTGTATTGGCTGCTGCTACATCCTAGAAGAACCAGCTTTAGAAAAGCCGCTTTTCTAGCTTTTGCGGTTAATGTGCTACTTGTTCCACGCAGGGCTGCCGATTTTTCGAAGTGGGTCCAACCACTTATAATGCATATTCGTGCATGTTTGCATGCGTAAATATATACATGAACAACTGAAGGTTTCTGGAAATTTCATACAAGTGTTGTTCTTTAATGTGCCCTGGACGCGTTTTGCCTTCACTGAAACATAGCCAGGATTCGATCCTGGACCTCCAGGTCAGTAGTCAAAACACCATAACAGCTGCACCACCACAGCAAGTAAAGTATAACAGATTAGCTCCAGAAGTGAACACAAGAATATGCAAATGCAACAGTTTCTTTTAATGTGTCAAAAAAAAAAAAACAATGCAAGACTGAGATACATAGTGCCCTCTGCAAATTGTACAAAAATGTAAAAATAAAAACAAAAAAAAAAGAGGAGACACTTGACATAATATAAGCAACAGTGGGCTCGAAGGTGCAGCCTGAGGATGTTACATTGCCCTAAGAAACGGGCAACATTCGCTCGCCACGTGGCCAGAGGCGAGGCAGTGTTTTTTTCCGCCCTACGCATGTTCTGGACTGTCTCGTCAGCGAATGGCAATCAGTCCGGACTCCAAGAGTTTCTGGATCTTGGCGGCAATGTCTGGATTCTTCAAGTGCCTGCATTACGGCGAAAAAAAAAAAAAGTCAATCTTGACATAGAATCATCACTAGAGTGTAGCATTGTGTCGGCGGGAGATCTGGCAACAGCAGGTTTGAGCGAGTTGTGAAGGCTTCAGTCAAACGTTGTCACAACATTGAAACAAAGCAAAGGTTGATAATCCCTGGTGCTCCAACGACCACAGCAGCGATGCAAGTGACAACTGAAGGAAAATGTGTATTGCCTTGTTTACATCGAGGCACACCATACCTAGCAATGCGATTGACACCGCCAGCCCTCCCTACGATACTTAAGTGTTATTTTTTTTCATATGTCACGCTGTTATCGGAACAAAATGATTAATTGATCAATGGACTATAACTGATCAATAGTGATGGTGAAGACATCGCATGTCTATGACAAATGCACAGGCAAAGTATGCTGGCTCAAAGCAACATCAAATGCTCCAGCGTGACTTGTGCTGCACTTACTCCTGCAGTGCCCTGGGGTCGCTCTGCATTTGCTCCAGGATGATGCGCATGGCGGGGTCTCCTAGGATCTTCTGCACCTCAGGATCCGCCATGGCACGCTTGCGGACTTCCTCGGGATCGGCGTCCGACGCCATCAGGCACCGCTTGTAGCCGTCAAGCGCGTCCTGCCGATCGAGAAGTGGTAACAAAATAACTGTCAACTTCCCACTGTTACAACGGAGCGTGCAATGTACAACTTACATGAAAGCAAAAAACTGACTTCCATTCTTTAGACTAAGACGTCTACATATGTATACAATTCTTCTTGTAGTCTGAATCTATACGCATGTAACATCCGTGTGGGCACGGAGCAAAATGTCCCCATTTACTCAGCAAAAGGAACTCTGAAAATTTCATACATTTAGAACACTCGTGGTCCCCACATGCTGGGGTCACAAGCCTAGTTATTCCCTGGTAATTTATAGATAAACTTATAGAGCCTTTGAAAAATTGCAATTTGCGAGTTTGCGTCGAATGCTGGTAATTCAATTCTAGAGTTTTTTGAGACAAAATGAGTAGCCTATAGCCTTTAGAAAGTTTCTATTTTTCGATTTCCCCAAGTTGCATTGCATTTTTTTCTACTTCAGCACCATTTGGAGCAAGAATGGCAAGCCTATAAACCTTGGGAAAATTGCAGTTTTTCTAGATTGTGAGAAATGGTGATAATTCATTTTGAGAGCCAATTTGAGTTAAAAAAGGTACACTATGCCCTTCGTAAAGCTTCTATTTTTAAATTTCTCTATGTTCCGTGGCGTTTTCAATAATTAAATTTTTCCACCATTTTGACAAAATCCACACAACCTTTGAAAAATTGCAATTTTTCGAGGTTGTGTGGAATGCTGATAATTCATTTTGGACGGCCATTTTAAGACAAAATGAGTAGACTATACCCTTCGTAAAGCTTCTATGTGTCAATTCAATATTTAAACTTTCCCACAATTTTGAGAAAAATCGCAAGCCTTTGAAAAATTCAAATTTTTTTTAAGTTGCGTTGGATGCCGATAATTCATTTGGAGGGCCATTTTAAGACAAAATTAGTACACTATATATACCTTTCAAAAAACTATTTTTCGTTTTTCCGTGTTCTGTCACGTTTTGAATTAAATTTCCGCATCATTTCGAAAAAAAGTAGCTTTTGAAAAATTTCAATCTTTCAAGGTTTTGTCAAATGCCGATAATTCATTTTTAGGGCCATTTTGAGACAAAAAGAGCAGCTTAAAGATGATTTTCCGCAGCGGCGCCTGCGCGATGTGTGATCAAGTGTACATAAACTGGCCGTCTCCCAGGCAGTTGCCCAAGCAACACATAGGGGAAGCAAAGCGGCTGTGGCCGTAAGCGCCGGTAGCTGGGCTTGGAAGCCGACATGGCAGCACCCGTGCAGATGCGACCGATCTAAACACCCACTTGCTACTCGCCCACTGCCGTCAAAGCAATAAATAAATGTTGAAATCAGCTACCGCTTCGTGTCATTTATTGCTGGGGACATGGTGTCAGGTATGCACTGTCTATAGCAAAAAAAAAAAAAAACTAGCTGCATTTATTTAGCCATGCCTGCTATGCCTTGTTTCCGAGATTGTGAGAATAAATGAAGAAAACACTGGAAAGTAACGACGAATACATTGCTCTAGAAGCTTGAGGAAGTGAATATAGCGCAAATTAATGCATGCGCTTTGAACTTACGGGCCACGCAGCGTAGGACGACATAAGATCCAGTCGAAAAGAAAGTGAAACCACAGGCGCGGCAATGTTGAATTTCCCTACAGTGGCGTTCTTTCTCAACATCCTGCAGCACTTCTGCAAATCTCCATCGCAGCGCCTGTTCGGTGTCCCCATAGCGTGTGCTTCGCTTTTAATCATGCGCGCGCAGACACTACAGAGATGCCGAGCAGACGACGCGGTGCCGTGTTCCAGCAGTGCTGCAGAAAAGCACGACAGGAAGACGGCCATGGCAAGGAGACAAGCACGGTGTTCTCTACGCCTTGAAGTGCTCTTTACGCCTCGAAAATAACATCACAATGACTTCTACATCATTTCAGGTATTTCAAAAGCAAACAAAAAATTTTGGTTACAGCAACGTTTTGTAACTGGGGCGATGCCAATTCTTTCTTCCCTGAAACAGTTCGTGGGCTTCGCAATACTGATCACTCCCACACATTGCTGTGCAACTAGAGCTGAAGCGTGCAGCTGGCAGTGCTCCCGTCACCACAATTGCACTTGTCAAGAGATACCTCTCCCGTCTCTCCATCCTTCACATCCTATCTCTTGTGATACAGGGAGGAAGTGTGGCCTCTAAACAGATGCTCGCACCACAAGATGTTGATTGATGCAGGCAATGGCAGCTGAACTTGCGCAATGGTAGAATTCAGAGACTTAGACAAGGATGCACATCATTCGTCCGTCATCTACGACGTTTGTCTGTTATCAAAATGCCGTCTAAGAATTGCAGTCCGAAAAAAAAAAAAAAAAAAACTTACTTACCTGGTTGTTCGGGTCAATCTCCAGGGCTTTCTGGAACGCATTGAGTGCCTTGGAGTGCTCCTTCATGGCCATGAGAGCCATTCCTTTTCTGACATGTCCCTTCACTGCAATGAAGGATGCGTGAAAACTATTACTGCCATGTTGTCAGAGACAATTCATTGTAAACGCTAACACTGCATGATCAGTTAACAGGAACGCTATAGCAGAGGTCTTCACGTAAACTGCACACACGGCATAGAGCTTGTTGTACCCACGACATATCCTATAACAGATCCTACAATAAGCAGTGCCAACAAACTCAAGATGAAACCTTGATGAACTTCCTGTTTACCTGAAACATTAGTATTAAATAATAAATTGTACAATAGACCCTCATTAATTCAGACTCAAAGGGACCTCTGAATTTTGTTTGAATAATCAAGAAGTTTTAATTATTAGAAGTTCTCATATAGACGACTCTGGGAGAGGTGACACCACACATTATGATTATGCATTAATTCTATCACATTTAAAATTTTTTCAAGTATTTAGAAAAAACTGTTAAGGCCAACGCATATAACGATTTTTTTCGATCGGTGTTTACCGTTGATGATAACGTTATTCCGCCAATATAAGAGCAACATCGTACGAAAGTCGACCAATTAGACATCGCTGATGCTGGGATTTTCAACCTGCTACTTAAGCTCGACACCAAAAAAAGTTGTGGACCAGACGATATACCGAACAGTTTCCTGAAAAGATATGCAGAATGGCGTAGCAAATATCTTGGTCTCATTTTTCGAAAATCACTCACGACTTCACAACTACCTAACGATTGGAAGATCGCAAAGGTGATACCGATCCATAAAAGAGGAGACGCAGCACAATATTCAAATTTCAGACGTATTTCATTGAACAGCACATCATGTAAACTACTCGAACACATAATCTTAAAACACATGACAGTATTTCTAGAGCACATAAATTTTTCTCCCCTAACCAACATGGTTTTCGAAGTGGTTTATCGACGGTAACTCAACTTACTGAACTAGTTCACGACCTTGCCATTACAGTTAATAACCGTGGTCAAACTGACTTAATTCTACTTGACCTATCTAAGGCTTTTGACTGTGTATGCCACAGCAAACTAATAGCTAAAGTAGAAAATGTTTTCGGAATAGGAGAACTTTCCACTTGGATTTGATTGATTGATATGTGGGGTTTAACGTCCCAAAACCACTTTATGATTATGAGAGACGCACTTTCCACTTGGATAAAAGCTTTCTTATTTAAGGGGGGACGCGGCACTTCGGGACCGAAAATCAGCCAAAAAATCGAGTTTTCGCGGACCTTCTTTTCGCGTTCCCGACATCATTGCGCACCTATTTACAAAATTTCATAGCCGAATACCATCAACTTTTATCGTTATTCAACTTTAAAAAACCGAAAACGGGCGTCCTGCCCTTTAAATTGAGGGCGAATAGCGCAGGTTTCGGCTCTACGATACGCGGGAACTACGCGCTCGATCGGCGCCATTTTGGTCTTGTTTGAAAGAACGCGTTTTCGGCTGTTTTTTTTATTCAGTAAGCAACATTGAGCGTTTCCCCGGCTTGAAAAATGGGGCCTCAAAGACGAAGAGCCGCGCTCACTGCCATTGGCTAAACGGCGCACGTGACTGAAATGGCGCTTTCCGGTTGGCTGGAAGCTCGCGGCTTGCGCCTGCATACGCGACCCGACGCCATTTTGAAAGGGTTACCGCTGTGACGCCTCGAAATCGGCAGAGCACTCTGAAGCTTCTGATCGTATCGCCATGCCTGGAAACGCAAAGGTCGTGGGAGAAAGTCTACGAAGTCATCAGAGCCCTTGGTTGACTCCGACGAACGATGTGTCGACGCTCTGCGGCCGTTCAGCGATGGTGCGACCGAGCGCGTTGCCTCCGACGACGATGACGGTGAAGCGAACTCCGGACGACTACGAATCGACGCCAAGGTGGTGACAAACGCCGAAGTTGAAGAAAATCATGCCCGGGAGAAAGCGACGCTCGACCGGCTTTCATCGGCGCCAGCAACTGCACGGAAAATTGACTTTTTCACCGCGAGTTGTAGCGAGGCAACCGCACAGGACTCTGACCACGCTGCTCCTTATCTGCTTATGCATCTAGATATCCTAAACGCGATAATGGGTGCCTTGTGTTGCAAAGCCTGCCACGGACCGGCTACGATCGTCAGAGGGGATCGGGACTACGGACTTGCCGTGAAAGTGCTAGTGCAGTGTGAAAGGTGCGGCGAGATCGCGAATGAATGGACTTCGCCCCGCGCGAACGGCACGAAAACGTGCAATCCGTTTGAAGTAAATCTTCTCGCTTCGAGGGCGATGGTGGCTACCGGCAACGGCCAAACGAAAATGAACGATATTTTCGCAACAATGGGCATCTCACACCGCGGTATGCACCACAAGACGTTTCAGCGGCATTTGAAGAACACGCTGGCACCCGCTGCAACGCGAGCGGCTGAGTCCGCTATGAGCGAATGTGCGGAAAAGGTTAGAACAATTTATGATGACTTGTGCTTCGGCCACCGGGGCAATATTGCCGTTAGCTACGACGGCACGTGGAAGACGCGAGGCCATTCTTCCCACATCGGCGTGGGCACAGTTATCGAATTATTTAGTGGCTACGTGTTGGACTACGTCGTTCTTTCCAACTTTTGCCTAGGCTGCGAGGTGGGCCCAAAGCCTAGTAGTGAGGGCTATCAAGAATGGAAGGCTAACCACAAATGCCAAAAAAATACGAACAGCAAAGCGGGGCAAATGGAAGTGGAGGTGGCTCTAATTCTATTTCAGAGGTCGCTTGAACGCCATGGCCTGCGCTACACAACTATGCTGTCTGATGGAGACTAGGACATTTTGCGCCATACAAGACGCCAAGGTGTATGATTACATTGACGTGCAGAAGGAAGACTGTATTAATCATGTACAGAAACGGATGGGCACCGCATTGAGAAACCTGGTGCAGAAACAAAAAGTGCGATGGGAAAAGAGGCCTTGGTGGGAAAGGCAGGCTCACAGGTGAGCTGATCACCAGGCTGAGGACATATTATGGCCGGGCTCTGAAATCGCATGAACGTGACGTGGGCGAGATGCAAAAGGCTGTGATGGCCACATACCGCCACGTCACCTCCACTGATGAATGCTCGGACCACAGTCTGTGCCCAGCTGGTGAAACTTCATGGTGTCAGCACAATGCCGCAAAAGCAAAGGGTGAGCCCGACCCCAGGCATGCCTACAATCTACCGAAAGACGTGGCAGAGGCATTACTACCGGTTTATACCCGGCTTTCGGAAAGAGCCCTGCTTCAGAGGTGCGAACGCGGCAAAACGCAGAACTCCAACGAGAGCCTACATTCGGTAATCTGTAGTTTGGCCCCCAAGGAGCACCATGCGTCCCTGTTCGCTGTTGAAGCAGCTGTTGCAGAAGCAGTGCTGCGCTTCAACACGGGCAATTTGAATTCTGCAACGGCAATCTTAGGTGAAATGGACATGAATGCGACAAGTACTGGTGCCAGGAGAGCGAGAGAAAAAGACCACCGTCGCAGCATTGTCTCCAACAAGAAAAGAACAGCCTCATTGGAACTCCGGAAGCTAGTGAAGAGGAGGCATGAGCACAGAATGCATTCAGACTATGCTTCTGGTGCGTTTTGAGGTTGTCTTGCTGCATCTTCTGCAATAAAAATGTGTGCCCACGTTTTTTCTCGATTTCTCAAAACGACAATTTTCATGTGCTTCCCATTATGCCGGAGCAATATCTCTTGTTCTATCTGGGTTATCATTACGATTTCTTTTTTGTTTCGAAGATAAATGCAGGGGATGTGTCGTAAAGTAAGTTTTATTGTAATAAGTTTTGGAGAAAATTCTCTAAATGGATCTTTTGTTTCAAGTGTAGATGGGGAAATTTTTCATGTCATATTCAACATTCCACAACTTTGCTTCGAAATAGCCCAGAACAATGATTTATACTTTATTGCACACTGTGAACATACCGAATTGGTTCTATAGGTTGCACATCAATATCCAAGTTACAGTTAATTAGCTAATTAGGCCTTAATTGAAAAAGTCGCAGTTAATTATATCTTTAAACCTAATTGCCACAGCAAAAAAAGAATTAGATTTTTGAAATCAGCAGTAAAATCTACATAGGCTCTCCAAATTTGACTGCGGTACTCGCAAAAATAAAAGAGTTTTTGGAAGGTGTAGCATCCCCCCTTAACAGGTCACAATTTGTACCCTATGAACAGATGTCTTCTAACACAGTAGCAGTAACATCTGGCGTTCCCCAAGGCTCGGTACTTGGGCCATGGCTTTTCTTGCTCTATATTAATGATATCACTGCTAACATCACTTGCAACATCAAGCTATTTGCGGACGACTGTGTGATCTATAGAGAAATTAATCATTACAACGATCACACATTATGCTTAATGATTCTCTAGCTGTCGTGGCTAATTGGTGCTCTAAATGGCAGATGAAAATAAACACACGAAAATCAGGGATAATGACCGTAAGCAGAAAAACAAAACCATCCAACTTCCCATACACCATTAATAACACACTTCTTAATAAAGTTGAGGAACATAAATATCTAGGAGTTACACTGTCTTCTGATCTCAAATGGGACAAACACATCGCTAATATAACTTCAAAGGCGCTACGCAAACTATTCTTCTTAAAACGAACTCTAGCGCTCTCAACAACGCCAACGAAGCTGCTAGCTTACACATCATTCGTAAGACCAATTTTAGAATATGCAAACACTGTCTGGTTTCCGTATTCGCTGACTAATATAACCAAACTAGAAGCAATACAAAGGAAAGCTGTAAGGTTTATTTACAACAAATATAGACGCACAGATTCCCCAACACATTTTTTAAATCAGTCAGGTTTACAAACGCTGTCCACAAGAGCAAAACACGCTCACTTAAAATTCCTTTTCCAGCTAGTAAAAAATAACTACAAGATAGATTCATCCAAATACCTTTCATTTTCACAGGCTCAACAAACTCGCAATAAACATGCGCGCACGTTGTCAGAATACGCATGTAGGAACGACACGTTTAAGTACTCATTCTTCCCGCGCGCGATAGCGAAATGGAACCAACTTGATGCCACTATCACAAACTCCTAATCGCTATCAGAATTTATTGCACAGATAGAAAAAACTGGGCGCGCATAACAGTTTATACGCATGCAGGCGCACCGGTCCAGACCTGCTGTTCGTTAGTTAAAGCAACACCTTTTTCAATGTTCCTTTCACAGTAGTATAGCTATTTTTGAAGTATGCTTTCAGTGCTTGCTATTCCTGTCACAACTGTTCCATTTATGTTTTCCCTCACGATACCAATGCTAACATAAGTTCCCTTCTTCAATCATGTATTTTATTTCTATCGCCTTTCGGCATGGTTTCAGCTCTGTATAATGGCTATAACTTGCTTTGTATCTTGTGATTATTGCATACATTGTGTATTAATAACATAATTAACGTTTAACTTCTGTACTGCTCAATGGTCATATGATCCTCATGTCCTGTTATTATGCTTGCATGTTTTTACGTCTACATCCTTTTTTTGTGTGTGTGTGAAAAATTACTGTATTGCCCAACTGCCATGCTCTCGAAGGAGAGTAGCAGTACTGTAAATAAATAAATAAACCCTAACTGCACGCAATGAACATAGGTGTAATGTCCACAAGTTTATTGGCCATTTATTGCTTATCACACCTTTTAAATAAATATTGCCATCTGCTTCTTTGTATGTGCCTTCAACACAAAGCTCTCTATGCCAGTTGAGAAGCATCACGGTTTACCATGCGTGTGCTTTGTTTCAAACATTTGCTAACTAGCAAATCCTTTTTTTCTTGAAAGCCTGACGTGCTCACTTTTCATTTTAGAGTGTTAAGATTATATAGGCTTGCAAATTTTAAATAATAGCGGTAAAGCAGCTGCTATTTTCTGGTATGAAACTGCAAGAAGTGTGGATTAACCGAATGTTGGAGTTAACCGAATGTTTGAGTTAAGATACATTGAAAGAATAGAGGGCCAACCAAAAAATTGAATTTTGGTTGAATAAACCGAAAGTATGAATTATCAAAGTTTGAATTATCGAGAGTCTACTGTACACTGTAAGCTCGTTAATTTCAACAACATAGGTTTAATAATGACAAAATCTCCGCATCGTCCCAGCTGGGGCACCTGGTTCACTTTTCCAGATTTTCCGTTGGAACCTCTGATGGTATAGTCGTGAATTTTCGTTCCCCCCCCCCCCCGCTTATTTCAGACACATTGGCCAAATGAAATTTCGTGAAACTTAGTGTCTTAAGTCTCGGGCTCTGTCGGAAAACAATGTACTATATTTATCGCGACGACTGGTGCGGGAAGTTCAAGGTGGCACCAACACCCACATTTTCTTTATTGCAATTTTCTAGCTTACTGCCATCTTGCAGCAAGTGATACCGTCTGATTACATCTTATATAAATGATAATACAGTACAGACCGATTATAACCTAAGTCGTGGGAGTCGTGAATATCCGCAATATAAGCGGTACCACACTATAACCAAAACAATTTCTTTCACAGGTCGCAATTGCGCAAAACGTGTTGAGCATGCAGCTTCGCCTGTCCAAGAATCGAAACATGCGAGGCGTGCTTGCTAACGTTTAAATTTCTGAATGTTAAAAGAATTTACCATCCAAAGACACGCATTGCCAATTAAATGAACGCGAAAGGTGGTGCCTAACAAGCAAAAGCACCTTCGTGGGAATTCACCGACTACCAGACCGCCTCGATTATGCGCATTACACAGAAACTATGTCGAATCGGGTCCAGAATTTGACGCGTTGAAAGACACCAACCAATCGATTTCACGGGCGTGCACCCGATTTAAGACATAGCAATCGAATCGCAAACCACTATTTAAGCACTACATGTACCTTTCCCGTCAAGCGCGGCCACTGCAAAGAGTTTCGTTGATTTGGTACCTAACCGCAATGTAGATTCACGCGACCGCTACCGATCAAAGCGCAACGAATGTCGACTAGGCCTAGCTTGCCGTTTGGTATGTTGTCACGGAAAGTTGGACAAAACATGAAGATTTGGCATCAAAAAGATTGCACTAGCAGTGAACCAAGAACAGCGTGCATGATACAAAATTCGCGTTCGCGACCGGGAGATCAGCAATGAAGACAACTCGCCAAGCTTACAAACAACAGCGCACTGGCAGCAAAAGGGAAAGCTTGTGCCATAAAACCGTAACAGGTTTTCAATTAACGGACAAGAAAGCAAACACGATATTTGTTTCAAGCTCGATAACGACGACGTCTTTCCTGCCAGGAAACAAGCGCATGCAGTTGATAAGGACAGAATTGCACGTGCCACATTGAGCGGCGCACGGTACAAAGGGAGGAAGACGGTCACCGAGGCAACCGTCTTCCTCCCTTACTCGGCGAGCCCACACAGTGTCCCGCAGTCTTTTTTTCATTTTCTTTTTCTTCCCTCCGCCCTTCATTCGTTCACTTCGCATCTCCTCCTCCGTAACGACCTTGCCATTCGCTCCCTAGCGGCGCACCCAGCGCGCATCCTTTCAGAAGCGCACTTGCTACCACATTAGTCCCGATTTCCGGCAACTGCATCACAACCGGTCTTTCATCTTGGGGGACTGCACAATAAGCGGTATGCGTATACATGGTGTTCTATGAGAGGGTAAATGGGAGTAGAAAAAGACTGCATTGTAAGCGGTTCTGCACCATAAGCGGTTACGTTATAAGTGGTCTACACTGTTCATTTTTCCCATATTTGTTATATTGGGGTTTCACTACCGAAGAAAAACGTCTGCTTTGTCTATCACCCAATTTGAACTGATCCATTATAGCTTTATTTTCTTTACAAAGTGGTACTCAACACGAAATTGCAGTTTTTGCCAGCAAGCTCAGAAAAAAAGCAAGCATCTCGTGCTCTCCAAACCAGACCATCCTGCTTGACCCGTGCCCCTCGAGAACCGAGGAGAGACGGAAGGCAAGGAAGGTCCGGCATCTGGAGAGCGAATCAGATGACGCGCATGGTTTTCATCACAGCTTCAGGCAAGAAGCTTTTCAGAATGAAACTGTTCTTATATATATTGATGATCCTGTGCCCACTCCCGCACTTAGTCGCCAGTTTGTCAGCTTGACAGACGTCTCCGAAGATGTTGACATTATTAAGCCTGCTTCACTGCTCTATGCTCTTTCTGACCCTGAACATAGAACAGGCAAGATTTGGAAGACAATAAACTTGGCCCTAGCGGAACATGTGTTATCAATAAACTCAGTCCAACAAAAAGTACAAAAAGCCAAGCACCTTAGCTACTGACCCACCAGAGCGGACGATCTGACGCAATTAGTTTTGCACCTTAATTTTGCACCCCAGATCATCTCTCAGCAAATGAAGACCCTAAACAGAGCATGTCCTCCTAGTTCCTCTAGGTTCCGTTCAATAGGCCCACCGTATTTGCACAACATACAGAATTCAGGGTCCAGGCGTATGCACTCCTCGCAGTCCTTGAGGGCCAGCTGGAACTCGGCAAGCTTCTGGTAGCAGGCGGCCCGGTTGCTGTACAGTCGGGCGTCGTCTGGGTTACGCTTGATTGCCTCTGTGTAGTGGCGCACTGCCGTGGGGTAGTCGCCTGCACGCACGCATACAGGAGGCACGGCATTTAATCTACTGCAGGACGACCACGACTGCTCAGCTTTCCCACAAGACAGTGGTAACGCAAATGTAGCAGTGCCTTTCTAACCCATCTAGCTCTCATTTTTTTAAAGGGTAGAAAACTTTCTCCTTTTTTATTTTACCTTAATACCGCTTCAACAACACAAATAATGCCTTCCGAGCACTGCATCAGTATACAAGATATGTCCTATACGTAGAACATAAGGGCTTGGTTGATGTGAAGTGTAATATTGGGTGAACTAGGTACAGCTTTTTATTTTTACCTTGTTAACACGTGTTGAGACGCTAGCATGCAGCAACTAAAAAAAGGTTCGAACGCAAGCTTTCGCACTTCTGACAGAAAGCTTTTCACGGCACTTGAGTGGCAGTCATGCAATTATTGGACACTTTGCAGGTCCTAACATCATAATGAAATGGTGAGGCCTCCTTTAATGGGCCTATCATAATATTTACATCGTACCTTCAACGGTAGGCAAATCGAATTTCCCTTCATAATCATTACGTTCTAGCTGCCTCACAAAACATTCATCATAAAGTGGAGCAACTATATTCAGATAACTTATGTGGAATCCTACCCTAAGTACCCTTGCAAGTTTGCAAAAAAAAAATCCAGGCTGATTTACAGAAGAGAATACAGTCAAACCTCTATAAAACAAATCTGGATATAATAAAATATATCAGTTATAATGAAGTAACCGAAAAATATTGTTGTTATGTGGGGTTTAACGTCCCAAAACCACCATATGATTATGAGAGACAGACCGAAAAATAGTCTAGCAGTAGATGTAGTGTTAGAAATAAAGCTTTATAACAAATTTTTGGACATAACAAACTTAATTTAATGCAAGATGCACTTTGTTACAATGAGGTTGGTAAAAAAGTGGACGCTGGCTTAGGCGCTGAAGCTCGGGATCAGCACACAACCACTGAGCACCAGTATCCAATATTTAGGACAAAGATCGAGGAAAGCTGCGAGCGATGTGTACAGGTTAGGGAGGCCCCACTTATGAATTACGCTGTTCTACACCTCAGAAATAACGCAAATGAACAGTAGCTACCGAGAGAATAGTTTATCAGCAAAGAGTCGTCGGATATTCACTTGCGACATTAGTCTTTTTCATCTTGCCACCTTCCTTTCAATTTGGCAGAGTTGTGCAGAAGACTATAATAGAAAAAACTAGCCACGTTTGCACAGGCGTATCGAGAATACCTCCAACACTTCTATCAATGCCTTGGGTATTTATACTGCAATTTTAGTCTTTTTCATCTTGCCACCTTCCTTTCAATTTGGCAGAGTTGTGCAGAAGACTATAATAGAAAAAACTAGCCACGTTTGCACAGGCGTATCGAGAATACCTCCAACACTTCTATCAATGCCTTGGGTATTTATACTGCAATTTACAGCAGTCTTTTTGAAAACATTGAGGCTAAAAGCGGCTAATGCAAAATAACTGGCCAAGGCGCTCAGAAAAAAGCCAGCATCTTGAGCTCTCCAAGACCAGACCCTGCCCGCTACGTATCCGTGCCCTCGAGAACCGAAAGGCAAGGAAAAGCGAGGATTGGACGGCCGACGGAAGAGCCGGTCAGATGACGCGCATGGTTTTCATCACAGCAGTGCTTGGCAAGTTTGTCAGTCATTAAAAGCGAAGGGGAAAGGGGCAGTGTAATATGCTATAGAAAAAGTGCTGTTGACAGCCACGCCGAAATGGAGTAATGGCAAAATAGCAGTGTCTCCCTATTATGCAAGTGATTTGCTCAGTAATGCAGAATGATGGTTTACTGACAGAGCATTAACCACTACCATTTCGCGCCGATTCTTTGGCTGAAAATGACAAAATGAACAAACAGTTAGTACACTTGCCTTTCTGAAAGCATGCGTTGCCCTGGTTCTTCTCTTCAAGCGATATTTCCGGATTGATATACGCTTTTCTTCTTGTTCCTTGATGAATTTCTCAACCTGCAAAGAAAGACGAGCACCCCTTCACCCATCAGCGCGACGCCAGTACCCCTCTTAACTTTACGGCTGTGGTAACGGTCAATTGTGCACCCCCCCTCCCCCTTCAGTCACAACCTGTATAGCGTGCAAACACGTATCTTAAAATCAAGGGCACAATCCCCCACACTTCTAGCCCAGCTCTCTAGGCTGCACAAGGTGCAAGTAAAGAATGAGTGAACTGTCGTTCGGTGACTTTGATAACGATTACTGTAAATTAATCCACATGCAAACACAGGCTTCATAAACATTTAACTGTGCCATTTTGGATGAAACTCGGATGAAGGTGTGCATTTTACCGGGGACCTTAATAAAATAATGGGAGTTTCTCAAGGCCTTCATACATTTAAAGAAAATTCTGGCAATGAGCCCAGTGTCAGTGCTACTTGAGGCCCAAGGTCTGCAACGGCATACCTCACTAAGCTTCGACAACGTGTCTGGTATCCGGTGCTCCGTCAGGGACTTTTGGTAGTATGTCCTAGCGTTTGGGTAGTCCTCTAACTTGACATACGCTCCAGCCATTCGTGCATACGCCCTGCCGAGGAGTAACAAAAGGTAGGACATTAGAACAGAAACAAGCCCGTGATAATGTGTGAACGTAACTGTGAAAACATGGCAGAGCTGTCCTCTGCGAGTATTATGTGCAAAAACTATGATACGACTATCAGGCGGATAGCGCACTAGATCTGGATGCCTTAAGCCTACCTGATGTTCCCCTATAAACCTAAAATCTTCAAGTAAACTAATATCATTTAGTGAATTGCCACCATAAAATGTAGCTGCTGCATCAGGCATTAAACATGCTACCTAGTGCTTAGCAGTACAACACCTCAGCCACCAAGTCACTATGGCAGTTCTGAATAAAATCGCTTAGAGAGGTAAAGGCAATAACACGTAATCATTTAAGGTACATGAAATGGCAAAAACATAACAGCTCCTAGATTGTCTAGATGCATAAATCCACAGCTAGATACCAAAACAGCCTCAGAAGGCAGTGATAAAGTTACAAGATGTACAGAACCTTTTAAAAGACCAGGAAAAAAATTGTTGAAAGCTTTGATGAAGCATGGAAAAAGACGCAACCAGCCAGGCTTTGCAAAGGCTTACCATTTTGTAACACAAGGTTCCAAAATTGAATTACTCAAAATGTAATGCAAACAGGAAATATTGAAGCAGAAATGTTGCAAAGGTTATAATAGGGTTTCCATTTTGTCTCACAATGGCCATAAAATTAAATTATTCAAAATTCGATACAACCTGGAAAAATCTAGCACTAGAGGCTTTGCAACGGCTATATAAGCTCCCCATTTTGTCTCTGAATGTCCCGAAAATTAAATTATTTAAAATACAACATAACCAGGAAATACTGAAATATAGAAGCTTTGCAAAGGCTTTTTACTTTGTCTCACAATGGCTAAAAACTGAATTATTAAAATTAAAAAAAAAGAAAACCTGAAAAAATCGAAAAATAGAACCTTCACAAAACCTACAAGGTCCCAATTTTATCTCACAATGGCCGCCAAATCGAATTATTCAAAATGCAACACCTTATGCAAAATTGCCACTATCTGTGAGCCGTTGTGTGCATACAGTTATGTTAGAGGCTCGAGTGCGACACAGCACTGTCCACGTGTGTTTACGTATACGCAAGGCGTATCGTCGTGAGGTGTGTATTGTCCGATAATCGCGATGCCTAGGTATTGCTGCGTCTTTTGCTGCACACAAGGAGGCAACTTGGAATATTGAAGGAAGATTAGCCATAAACTTTGTCCTCCTATTTTTTCAACCTGATGACGGTTCGCATGTGCTCCGTGTATTGCTCCTAAAACACGTGTTTGCATTCTCCTTTCTAAGCAAGTAGGACGTGCAATAGCATAGGTACTCATATTGCCTCAAATTGCTGCACGCCGAAGCAAGAGTTTTTGCAACGTTTCCACTAACAGTTGTTTAAGAAGTGAAGGCGACTCATACGCTGCACACAGAAGCCACCACGCAAAAACTTCATCGTGGCCATGGCACGTGCCGAGTTCCTCTGTGTGCAGCAAGGGAGACAGCAATACGCCGGCATTGCGGTACATCAACCAGTACACGCCTCACGTCAATATGCCTTGATTGATTGATCGATATGTGAAATTTAACGTCCCAAAACCACCGTATGATTATGAAAGACGCCGTAGTGGAGGGCTCCGGAAATTTCAACTACCTGAGGTTGTTTGATAACTCTTTCGTTACCACGCCTATTTAAATCCATCCCCGCTGATAGACGCTTTTCCCCCATCAATTTCGGCATGTTAAATTTTTCCTCGTGCACCCAGCACTTTTAAGTAGTTAGTTCAGCCACTCAACTTTTAGAAATTTTTTTAATTTGCCGACTTGGGCAACATAACAATTATTTACAGACTTCTGCATGAACAAATGTGCATGTGTAGTTGGAAAAATGCACTAGATTGGCGAACTTGACAGAAATGTGCATGTGTAGTTGGAAAAATGCACTAGATTAGCGAACTTGACAGAAGTGCGTGCCCCTCGTGATTATGCTACAGTAACATCGAAGTTTTGCAATGAAAAGAAACTTTGCAAGGCAAATATCGAACTGATGTGTTAATTTCCAATTTGACTGAGTTGAGCAGTAATAACAGACAGAAATTTATGCCAGCTAATCCATAGAGCGCTGTTGCTAGAAGTCAGGGAACACTACTTCTACAAAAAAATATTTCCCAAGGTCTGCCACATGTATAAAGTGTGCAGGTGGCTTTCACAGCCAGTTTCCAGTCGCTTTGGTTTTGCTTGTATCGTTACTAACACACGGTCCTGTCTGGTGTCACTAGTCGCTCTTATTATGTGGTTGTCACACCTGCATGGGTGCGCATCAGCGCAGCAAAACACATGGCTGTTGAAACTGTCTTGTGCCTCCACCTGAATTGAGTGAGAACGAGCTGAGATTCCGTGGATGACAGCACCTCAGCTTCAAGTTTCATAAGGACGACGTTTTTTTTGTCAGCCTGAGACATCCGTAGCCGTTCATGGGTTCGTTTTGTTTACATCGTAGCCGTTCATGGGTTCGTTTTGTTTACATCGTGAAGTTATCTCCTCCCCCCCAAGTGCATATAGCTTCTGACCTTTATGCATAACCTTATAGTTACTCAAGTTAAGTGCGTGGTCAACACTTCGTTAGGACGCAGTGTGGTGGCACTAGCTGCAGAGCTTTTAATGGAAAGAAGGCCCTCGGGAGCACAACTTGGCCATGACTACGGAGCAGTGCGAAACATTTAGGATTGCGCGTCATATTGTCCTTTTATTATTACGATATGCGCAAAGATGTAAAGAAATATGCTTGGATGCATATATTAGAATGCCAACCTATGCGGAGTGAGGTGGCTCAAGGAAAGAAGTGATGCTAGATGAAATGGCAAAATTCATTCAGCATTTCATCTATAGAGAGATCCTTCACATCACAGGTATCTATCTATATTGAAATACGTAGAGACTCTTATCGCAAGGCAATGGAAATTTACTGAGAAGAGTGTACGTGTACACTTGTGCCTCACGAAAAACCATCCAATGCTTCATCGCATGGCATGAGCAATGAAGCAGCACCTTGGTTCCGATTTTATTTGTCTATGCGAAGGGAAACATTTTGTACATCAATTATTTTTATACTGTTCCTGGGTCATTTACCTATAAAATGTATATTCTGAATTTTCTTTGTTTTGAATATTTTTGCATATGTAGTGTTTTTTATTCCACTGTTTACCAGCTGGTGACGGAAAAATTTGACACTTTTCACATTTTTATTCATTCTAAAATATTTGTTTGCTCTAAAACTTATTTATTTTTGGAAATAGTTAAGTATGCTGCAATGCGTGCTGGAGTACTTTTCAAATGGGCAAGAACAATCTTCACGCAACATGTGATAAACAACCATTTTCGCGTAGTAATGGAAGGGTTAAGGTGCACCCAAGTCTGAGCACACCGGCCTACAGCCTTTTCGCCTCCACCAAAATGCAGCGGCTGCAGCCAGGATTCGATACCGCGACCTGCGGGTCAGCAGCCGAGTACACCTTAGCCACTAGACCACAGCAATGCTGAAAATTACCATGTACTAACTTAACAAGGACAATTTGTCCCAGTATTCTAAAATTAAGCTCGTCATTTTCGGGTGCCCTTAAGCTCAGAAAAAGCCAGCATCTTAAGCCTTCCATGACGGGTAGCCTTGCAAAGTCTTTCACCGCCCGAGAACCGAGCGACGAAAGGAAACAAGCGCAACTCGACTGCTGGAAGGCCAGTCAGATGACGCGCATGGTTTTCATCATGGCGGAGGGCAACATGACAACATGACATATGTACTAAAGGCTGAGCATTTAAATAGGTGTACAGTGTCTGCAAAGACTACCATACCTGTTTGTCTAATACCTGCAGCAACATACCTGCAATTATCTATCGTGACAGTACCGCAAGCCTAGCACTGCTAGGCGTCTGTCTGCCTGAATTACACTATCCTCGGCACATCCCTGATACTTAGTGTAAATCTGCTGCAAGCATCTTTAAGTTACGAAAGTTTTTTTTTTTTTTTTTTCAGATAAGCCTGCGCTTGACAATACATTAGTACTGTAAAAAGATTTACTATTGTCACATTATCCAGCTATCGGTCATATTTTGTGAAAGCAAGAAAGTTAACACACACACACACACACACACACACACACACACACACACACACACACACACAGACAGACAGACAGAAGCAAAGATGAGGCTTAGTGACCGGTGCCGATGAATACTTAAATTGTTAAAGCAAGGCTTGCGTGAAAGATGCACCATCTGCTGAAGAAGGATTGCTTTAGATCAATTCTGGATTCCCGGGTCCAAACAACAGGTACGAATTCAGCTGGACACCTTATTCTTGAGTGCCCTTCAAGCTCAGAAAAAGCCAGCATCTTGAGCATTCCGTGCCAGACTATTTTGCAGAGTCTTTCGTCGCTCGAGAACCGAACGATAAAAGGAAGCAAGGTTGGTCCAACAGACGGAAGGCCAGTCAGATGACGCGCATGGTTTTCATCATGGCCGAGGGCAACATGATCAAGATGACATATTCATTAAAAAACTAACCCTTAAAGAAGTGTATATTCATATTCTTTATAAAGCGAGAGTCTGGAACGTGCGGCCCACCGACCAGTCACTTGCGGCTCGCACGTAACTGTCTTTGTCTTAAATTTCTCTTACGACTTAGTGACTGGTGTAAAAATTACTAAATAGTTGCTCGCATTGTTTCACAGCAAATGCTGGTATGAGAAACAGAACAAGGATGCCATAGTTGTACATCCCCGCCAATGTCCGTAGTCACTATTCCATTAAATGACAAGAGGGAAAAACGAAGTAAGGAAAAATATACATTTAACTCAACATTTTGTAACTGGAGCAATGCTATGAACATGAAAGTGAGGGTAGGAAAGCGACAGACAGGTGCCAAGCTTCTGGAAAGTTCTTGTAGAAAAATACATTGGATGGAACGTGCTTCAAATCTGGATCTCTTCC